TATATATATATATATATATATATATATATATATATATATATATATAAATGTCCGCAGAGGTTTCACCTCATGTACATCTCTTCTGTTGCACTCTTTGTAAGTTATCTGTGTTTTGTTAAGATGTTGGTTTGCCTGATTGCGCTGTTCTTCCTCATTTCCTCCCTCCTTGTTTATTTTCCTGCTGCTTTATTTTCTGCCTCTCTATAAAATTTTAATGATCACGGACCACTGCTGCAATAAAATAATGGGTGTGTTCTGCGGAGGAGCTGCAAATGGAAAAGAGTGAACGATGTGGTAGAAGTGAACCAATAAAGCAAATGTGTACATTATGTATAGGGGACAATTAGGAATGAATCTATTCGTGTTGAATTCATTCTCATATAGCACACACATTTTAAAATGACCCTGAGATTCAGATTATTCTAAGACTGAATGTCAGTGTTTAGTTTTTTAAAACAGGTAAGACCAATGTCTCAAAACTACAGGCACAAAATGTACCAAAAGTCACATGCAGTGAGCAGGATTATTGAAGACCCTTTTCAGGTGGAACAGTTGAGCGAGTCACCAAATGTATTGGACATCTGATTGTGCAGGAAGGTGCTTGCAGCTAGAATTGATTCTTGCCATTGAAAATTAGTCTACTAAGACACGGATGTCAAAATGGAGCAGAATGGCTTCTGAGATATAATGAAAGGTGAAGATGAGGAAACAGTATGTGTTCCTTCAAGTGAAGAGATCTGAAAATGTGGGAATATCTTTTTCCTCTTCTTTGCTCAGCACTGCTTTGTTTTGGTGGGGGGAGGGGTTGTCACTGATTTAATGGCAATCTCACTCTGGTTTCATATGATAAATTAACTAACGTGACCCAATTCTCTTTATTGCGGGCTATCAGAAATCCTCTGTTTTATCTACATTGAAAGTTTTCTCAATGCAACGTTTGTCTGAATTATTTTGATAGCGTTTGAGCAGATTGTTCTCAGGATTTAAGAATTATGAAACAAGCAAACAAAACATTTCATATCCCTGTTTTTGCCTTTCATTCTTTATAGTAATGCTTCCACAAGTACAGCAATGGCATCTGTGACATTAATAAGATGAGCCTAAGATACCTTAAATCAGTGTTGTATGACTGAGATATTAATATAATCACTATGGGAGGATTCATCACTGTCAACCGTTTCGAGTATCTTTGAGCGTAGGCACCTAATAAGTGACCATGTTCTCTGAAAATTCCATGTTAAACATTAATTAAAAAGTTGCCCGTCTCTGTCTTAGTCCAATGTCTAAAAAGGAGAGAATTGAAGCTCTACTTTATAGCTGCTATTACCAATATATTAATGGATCAAATGTACTTTTCAGAGAAACAAAAGTGGTTGCAAAAAGTGATTGCTTTTGGTAACATTATTACCTGACTCTGTAGATTTAGTGTCTTTCAGCTCTTTGTTTGGGTTTTCCGGCACCTATTATGCATACTACCAAAAAGAGTTATGGAGATAGTAAACAATGTAGGATATCGCACATGCTGTTTCAAGTCACATGCTATTCCACCATGGATCTGGTAGAATTTAATACTGCACAGACTATGTACAAAGCAATAAATTATTTACTACATGGCAAGGTACAAAAAATGGACTCAGACAGAGACAGGGGCTATAAATAAAGAGGGAAATCTATCTATCATTATTTATCTATTTAGTTTATTTAGAATATTTAGTGTATTTTGAATTTGCTTTACTCTTCATTGTATAGTTTTTTCTTGTTTTCGTATTATTTGTTACATGTTTGAAATAAATCGAACTAATGTAATCTAATCTCAAAACACTTTACATTATCCAGATCCCTACAGCAGACAAAGTTAGCGACTAGCTGGTGAGCATAAAGAAGCATTTTGCAGCCAAAGAGCTATAAAGGAGAGTGAATACTGGATTAATATTCGCCAGCTGGCCAGAAACATGACTCCAAATGAGTGCTTTTGTTACTCTTCTGGATGGGTAAATAATGTGTAACTGTTTGCTAACAAGTACGCTATATCAACATACAGGTGATAATATGCCAATTTTGTGTCGACAGCTTGTTTTCATATAAAGCAGGTTTGAAAACTGTATGATAGCATATATTTAAAATATGGTAACTAATAAACCTGTCAATCAAAACAAGAATGACCACATATTGAAATGACCCTCCTGTTTTTCCTTCTGTTGTGCACAGAGTTAAACTGCTGTGAAGGGGATATTCTCCTTCTGCTGGACTCTTCAGGAAGTGTAGCGAACTACGAGTTCTTTCGCCTGTTGCTCTTCGCCACCGAGCTGCTTCGCCCCTTCTCATTGGGCCGTGGGCACGTAAGAGTCGGGCTGCTGCAGGTGGGCACAAACCCTAACCTGGAGTTCGACCTGGATGACCACAACAATCAGGAAAGTCTGCAGAAAGCGCTGCAGAGTGTCAGCCAGCTGCAGGGAGACACCAATACAGAGGCGGCGCTCAGGGTGGCCCAGCGGCTTCTGACAAAGACAGACGAGAACGTGCCAAAGATACTGCTGTGGCTGACTGATGGTGTGCAGCCTGGAGACGTGGACGAGCCGATGTCTAAGCTGAAGGCGCAGGGAGTTTCTGTTTTAGCTATTTCTACAGTACATGGCAACTACCAGGTGTTAAAACGTGCAGTGACACCTCCACTGGAGTCTCACCTCTACTCGGTGGACATAGATAACATAGACATCATCACAGAGGAACTGAGGGACGCCATTATCAGTATGTGTATGTGTGTGTGTGTGTTTGAAATATAAGATTTAGCACAGTAGAATATCTAGTTCCATGGAAGATACTCAACAGCTTATTTTAGAAAGAAAAGGGGATTTTGAACCACAGAATTATCCAGTTTCTATATTTTATCTCACTTTTCCTCTCCAATTCTCCTCCCCCTCTTTCTTCTCATCTTGTCTTATCTATAGAAATTATTCGTGCTGAACGACTGCATGTGGTTCACTTGACATCCCACAGTGCTGTGCTGCAGTGGCGTCCTGTTCTGAGCACAGACAGCGGTTACTATGAGCTCTGGTACAACCCTATGTGGAAAACGGACAATGAAACTAGACTCAATCTGCCAGGTGACTCTAGCTTGGTAGAGGTGACCAACCTGCAACCTGATACCACCTACACAGCTGCCCTCCGCCCAGAGTCCAACCAGAAGCTGTTTAACACACTTTATGTTAACTTCACCACACTTCCTGGTGAGAGGATTTAAAGCGGATTCCCCATTTAATTACATGTGTTTTTATAATCCTGTAATGCATTTCAAAAACACACTTGTTATTGAATTGTAGGTGTTTCAACTTCCATTTTTCTGGTAGATGTATATATCACAAAACTGGAGACCCAGTCATTCAACAGGCAGAGTGTGTGTTAAAGAGGGTTGATGATTTGTTTCTAGGCATTTTTTTTCTGTTACCTGTCTAACATTTAAAGTTTGTATTATTATTTGATTTGCTAAATTGTATCATCACGCATTACATCTGACTTGTCTATCAGGTGCTGCACAGCAATCTGTGTAAAGACCTGAATCTATGATGATGAACCTTAATGTGCTGCAGCTAGTCACCATCTCACCTGTGTCTCTTGTCCCCTTTCTGCCTCATCTCCCCTCAGATGTTCTAAGCCCGGCAGTGGTCTCCGTGTCAGACTCTGGCCCTCGTCAGATCCGTGTGAGCTGGGGTCCCCTCCAACTGGCTCGAGTCCAGAGATATACTGTGGAGTATGGAGCTATTCCAAGCGGGGATGTCCACACTATGACATTACCCAGCCAGCAGAACTCTACCGTACTGACCGGCCTGGAGCCGGGCACTCAGTACCTGGTCACAGTCAGCGCTCTGCATGTGAATGGAAAAGAAAGCGCCATGACTGTAAGGGCATGCACTCAAGAGGGTACGTTTTCAGTTTGAGGTTTGTATACCATGATATGATGTCTGTGTGCACAAAATTGAGTTTGTGTCTTTCAGTTCAAGATCTTTCATGATAATTTAGTTTTCTTCTGTTAAAGGCACATTTGTGAATAACTCCTACTCAGTCTCACTTGAGCAGTCTGTTCTTTCAAAAGCAAAATCTTTCTTTTGCTTTCCTCTTTGTTTTTTATCCCGGCAGCATCTCTGCCAGCTCTGGCCGACCTTCAGTTGAGCCTGGTGGAGCGTCATGAGATTCAGGTAGCGTGGCAGGCCCATCAGGAAGGTTTGAAAGGCTACTGGCTGAGCTGGGAGACAGAAAGCTCCCACAGCATAAAGCCTTCTACGTCCTATGTCTACCTGCCTCCTACCTCTCGTTCAACACGTCTCAAGCACCTTGCACCAAACAGTCGAGTGTGTGTGTCCCCGGTCTACAGCTCGGGCCGAGGAGACGGGTTGTGCTGCACTGCAGAGAGGCGCACAGGTTTGCTCAGCTGAATATTATTATCTGCTTTTTTTTTTTTTCTGCAATTATGTTCAGAAATAGCGGGTTTGGTTCATTAGAGGAAGTGTAATTTCCCATTTGTCTGTCTCTTCTCTCTGATAGATTCCAGGCATTGGGGTTAACGACCACAGTCTGCTGCAATCAGGCAGCTGGAGCAAAAAAGTTGGTGAAGTCGAGCATTTTGAGTGCTTGATGAACTAGATTACTTGCGCAGGACTGAATATTATTATGAACATCATGATTATTATTATTATCTAGTTAAAATTTTCATCTTGGAATGAATTATGGTGACAGAAAAGGCTTTATCACATAACCCCAGCTCTCCGTTCTCACAATGGCTGAGAAAAAGTGGACATAATTATTCATCTTTATCATAAATTTGACAGCACCACACATTTCTTCCGATATTTAGTTTCCGACATTCAGTTAGTCTGACAGGAACATAAGTGGCTGCAAAGTATGCAATTATTATTCATCATTATGATTATAGCTTACTCTTACAATGTAATGTTACATAACTATGGGTGTATTTGCTTGAAATTGTATAAAACTGTTCTCGCCTCCTTGCAAGTATTCAAAGTTTTTATATATATATATATATATATATATATATCTCTATCTCTATCTATCTCTATCTATCTCTATCTATCTATCTATATATCTATACGCCTGAAATAAAACAAGATTAGCATGATTAGTAGATATGTTTTTCGAATTACTTGTTTTGTATTTTATTTTATATGCTACTGAAATAGTGAAGAGGTTTGTCTGGTAAAATGTTACATTTTGTATTAAAATGTTTTTTCCTCTTTACTATTTGCTTGTTTATGGGGTCATCTAGTGGCGGTTGGCTGCAATCAGAAATTGCCGACTGAATAAATGAGCTTCATGTCTTCTTGTTATGTGACATAAATTACTTTTTTTGCATAATTAGATGTTATGGTCCATTATATTTTATAACTTCACTTGAGCACACACAAACCTGTTCATGAAATACATTTAACCTGCACAGACAGAATGAAATGGATCAAACAAAAAACATATTTTATAGGATCATCAAATTACAATGAATGGCACATTCCAATCTAATTTGTGTTATTAGTACGAATATTAGTAAAGTCATTGGTGTCTTTTATATTTATGCAGCAGTGACAATAAAAGGACGGGCAACACCAAACTCAGATGCTGTTTAAGGTTCTGCTGAATGTCTTGCACAACCAACTGAAATCATTCACTGTAACATTGAAGAAAGGCAAACTAATTGTTGGATATAATGTATGTTTTCCCCCATTGTTTTCCTTTTGCACCTTGACAGCACATACATCCATACATTGCTTTAATGGTTGTTGTCACTGATCTTACAGATTTTAGTTTAAATACTTTATGTTTGTTAAAAAAAGCTTGTGCGTGAACTACTTCCTTGTCACAATTGCTGAAGCAGTTTGCAACAAATGGGGGGTTGTACAGCATATGAACGCAGAACCTGTCGCACCCCAAGCGAGAATCATATACTTTGACTGGATACCCTGACAGGAGCACATCTAGCCTTAGAGCAAATTTAGCCAGATTTGATTTGCTAGTTCATTTGACGAATAGGGGTGTAATCCTTATACGTTAGTGACCACTTGAATTAGTGACCATAGTGGTTTGTGAATGTTAAATGTGAAGGGGAGGGACACCATGGTTTGATTTACTGTTAAAAAACTGATTTAAAGGTAAAATTATTAATTTTAGGGAAGGAACTTATGTTATTAGGGTTTTAGTATTTATTGGCGCCCATCTCTGACCTGGTGACATAGGGTCAAAACATAAGTTACATTGTGCTATCAAATTGCTGAAAACACACACAAGCACAAACATATATGCACACAATCAAAAAGGCTTTCACTTCCCAGAGGATGATGGGGAAACGAATCAAGTTGCAAAGGAAGCACATTTCCTTCAGGTAAGCTGATTAATCTCCTGTGGTTCATTAGCCCCGCGCCTCAAGATCCCTATGGCATAAACATTGTGTTGCTTTTGGGCTTTCTGACGGCCGAATAGGGATTATCTCACCCGACCGTAGCACAGCGACACCTTTGATGTCAGTTTTTTGTCGTGATGACACAGGTAGGATCATCTTCTTTCATTGGCTCCAAGAGGAGTGTCTTAAGTTATCTGACTGCATCTGCAAAGAACAAGAAGCACCAAATACCACTGGGGTTAACCTACTGGTGCATGACATGTTGGCAGCATGCTGGAGGATGGAAACTGAATTATATTTATCTGACGTACATTAAAATGAAGATGAAACATGCTTAAAGATTTTACACTCGCTGTTAAAACTTCAAGGTTGTTGAGAAAGTGGCTGCAATGACCTACCCCATGGTGGAGGATGGAGAGACGATGCTTGTGGGAATGGGACTTCGTGTCCCTGTGTCCCCTGTGCAAACTGCTTTTTACATCTTCCTGGTGATTCTGGGCATCCTGGGTAATTCCACCGTTATTGGGGTGATTGGTAAGAGTGTAATAACGGACCATGTTGGGGGACGTAACTCGGACATCATCATCATTAACATGGCACTCTCTAACCTGCTAGTGTCTGTGATGAGGAACATACCGCTTGTCATCTCAGACATCGGACTCGAGGTATGTTGTCTTAAAGATCAATGTTTTTTTAAGATTGCCAACACACAAAGGGGTGACCCTTTCGTTAGTTCAAAGGTTATGTTAATTTATTGAGTGTACATTTTTTTTTTTAAGTAAATTGATGAAAGAGACCTCTTTGTATCTCCAGGAGATTAGTTTGAGTACCGAATATTAGTGAGGAAATGTGTTAATATGCACCGGTCTCTTTCTTTTACAGCTGTACTCTTCCAAAGAGTGGTGTCAGGTCCTCATGGGTGTCTGGGTGTGGCTGCGATCGGTCAATGTGTGGTCAACGCTCTTCCTCAGTGCGTTCCACCTCCAGACATTGAGGCGTGTGACTCCTATGGGGACCCGTAACGGGCCCCAGGGCCTTCCTAAGACCCTACTGCTGATTCTGGCCCTCATCTGGCTTCTCAACTTTGTTTACTCCATTCCTGCTCATATCTTTTCCACTAATGGGGACGTGAACACCACAGAGGTAAAGCCTTTCAGCCTATTCTCTGCAATTCATGTACTTTACATCACCTCTAGTCATTTTGTGCACCATGCTACTTTTAAAACCTGCCTTCATTAACCCATCACAGTAAACAAGTTTGCATTTGTTTTTGTTAAAGTTATGTTATCTTAATGAAATTAGATAAGTGATATCAGGTTATTTAATGCTGACTTGACAAAGAAGCTGCATTACCAAACGATAATGTAAAAATGTTCCCCCCAAAAAATAGTGCAGACCTATTAAATTAAACTGTCTGTAAAAAAGGCTTTCAGAAAATTGTGAGTAAAATTGTTACATTGTATTTTAAGGAGTTAAAACTTGCAAAAACAATGTGATTGTCCCTTAAAATTTAGAGAAATGTTCTGTGGTGAGAAAAATAATATTGCGGAAAGTACTCAAATAATGTAGATTAGCAATATAGTGTAATAATGCTGTGTCAGAAGTAGACTTTCCTTTTGATATGGAGAGAATTCCTCTCCGTAGATTGTTGACTAAATGTTTGTTCCACCCTCTTCCTCCTCCACTCCTCCACCTTCCTCCTCCTCTCTCAGACCCTGATGCTGGTGAGCAGCACAACGCGCCCCCTGCTGGGCTGTGTGTGGAACTTTCCCTCCATCTACAGCGGTCTGGCCTATGCAACCACATCGATGGTGATCCATGAAACTATCCCCATAATCCTAATGGCCTTTACCAACCTGGGCTCCCTCTACACACTCTACACCCACAGCAGGGTGCAGAGTTCAGCGGAAGATGGACCTGTCATAAAGCGGGTGCCTGCTGAGAGACGAGCAGCCAAGGTGAGGAAGACAAGGGTGGAAGGGGGAGGTTTTTTGGTTGTGAAGAGCTCACTAACACCATGTTCATCATGAAGTTGAGTAGCGAATAGCTAATTAAAATGTTTCATCTAAAGCAGACTTGAGACTTAATTTATGGACATAGTCAGACAAACATATCAATTGTTTTACATTTTTATTGGCGTCAAAGTGAACATATTTCACATATTTCACTTGTTTCCCTTCCCTAATTCATTGTGTTCTGTGTGTTCTCCAGGTGATTCTCACTCTCATAATGCTCTTCATAGCATCATGGGGAACCAGCATTATCTCTGTCAACTATTTCAACTACAACAGGGGCTCCTCTGCAGAGTTTCTTCTGGTCATTGCACGTTTTGCCAACATCATCTTCATTGCAATGTCACCTGCTGTTCTGGCAGTTGGCCACCGGCGGCTGCGTTCTTTCGTCAAGTCTACACTCTCTTACTGACAGATCCCCTATGCAGCTCACACAATACTGTTAATCATTAACTATCATCTTTATCACTAAAAAAAAAAATTAAAGGAGGCTTGTGGTTATAGGATTGCATATATTATGTTTCTCTCTGTAAACCTCCCTAAATGAGTGTGTGACTGTGGTTGGACTGAAAGGACGGAAAGGCAACGTGCTAAAAGGTCATTTAGGGAAGAAGGATTTGCATCAAATGCAAACTCAAATGTAGCCAACAATGCTATTTGCACCAGACCCCAACACACATAGCCTACTGTAGGCTATCTATATTTTTACTAAACAAAACTGCGACTGAAAAGGGAAAATAAAAATTGAAAAAACAGCAAATAATAAGTTAAATAAGTGTAAAAAATAGGCTTCTCATGGAATACAGGTGCAAATAAACACTCCGTAAAAGAAACCTCATAGCAACTCTTACCTCTTCCAAGGTTTCTCTTGTTTTTGTGCTACATGTTTTTGAAGAGTTTTTCTTTGATGATTCGATTTTATTCTAGACTGTTAAGCATATTGAGACATTGTACCTGATATTGGCTGAAGCTCAAAGAATCATTAGAATACATCTCAGCTCAAAAGAAACAACAAAGAAGCAATGATACATTGGATTGAGTAAAATAGTTTCAACAATAAAAGAAACCAAATCACCTGCTTGATTACACTGTAATGATTTCTGACTTAGCCAACATACTGTGTTTCACTTTGACTTGCATTAAATAGCTCAAATAGCTCAAATAATACAGTGCTGTCCAAAGGAAACATGCAGTACCGTGCCTCTGATTAAAATGGATGATACATCCATGAATATTTTTGGTAGACATTTCAATATTTTTTCAGTACTTATGTATCAATGCAGTCACACTTTGCTCCCATCACTTGTCTGCTTGAGCTTTCTCCTTCACTTTTATGACCGTCCTCTCTTTTTGAACAATGAAAACAGTTTGTTTTCCCCTCTTTCCTTTAGTCTCTGGGGACTTAACCCCCTCTTCAGTGTCCTCCTTGTGGCATTTAGGAACAGACCACATCAGGATCATACTCAGGATCCTCTTCCTCAGCTTACCGTGTCCCAGGGCCACCACCATGGGACTGAATCCTACAAACAGCGAGGCAGAGAAGTGGGCCACAGTCAGCAGCCCTTCAGCGTGGTGTCCCCCATCATGGTTGTAGTACGTCACCGCAGCAACCTGTAGCACCCAGCAGACCACGAAGAGCGACACCAGCGACATGATTACATGAGCTGCTTTGCGTTCAGTGGACACGTGTTTGTCCAGCTCCCTGTGGGGTTCTACTGACTCGACCCCTGAGGCAACAGCTCGGATGTGTTTTGCCAGAGCATGAAGTGTGGCCAGGTTGGTGCAAACCATCAGCACCAGTGGCAACACCTCATTAAGTGCGAGCGAAGAGGATGCGAAGGCTGAGCCCTGTTGGTTGGAGGGGAACTCCCAGACACAGCCCAGGAGTGGCCTGGTGGTGCAGCTGATCACCATCAGCTCCACAGTGGCGTTGCCATGCACATGAGTGCTATATACAAGAGCTGGAATTGAGAAGGCCAGGTTTGCCCCCCACACCAGTCCCAGAACAATCCAAATCCGCCGTCTCTCCCTCTGCTGTGCCAGAGGTCCAGAGGCCATGTGCTGTCGCCTCAGGGTGGTGCAGTGGAAGACGCTAAGTGCTAGGGTCACCCAACAGCCCACAGCTCGCCACCACACCCACAGCAGCATGAAGATTCGGCACCAGACCGGAGACAGAGACACATCCAAGCCCAGGTCTGACACAAAGATGGGCACAGTGCGGAAAAGTGAGGTCAGCAGGTTGGCCACTGACAGGTGCACCAAAATAGTGTCAGAGGGAGGGAGTCTCCGAGATGGACTCTCAACGGCTGACTGAAACACCTGAGGGTATAAGCAAGACAGACTGAGAACAATCCATGACATTCAGCTCAATCAACAGATAAAAGTCTTAACATATGTTCTCACCACATGGATGACCAAGATGTTTCCCAGGATGCCAGAAAAGACCAAGAGCCCAAACAGAATAGCGTCTACAGTGAGGACCTCTGACATGTCATCATCCTCTGCGTGGGGACATAGCTTGCCTTTTCTTTGTGCCAAGCATGTGTGTGAGATTCAGAGTGAAACATCAAGGCTTCACATGAAGCACTACTGCTGATGATGGTCCTCAGGTTGTTTTATATCTGCACACACAGACAAACAAATAGATTTGTCACGCAGACGGTTTCATCTTTGCCGACCAGGCTCAAAGTCAATTTAGCATATGTTGATGCTTTGAGTGTACACGCAGAGGCAGGCATTTTCCACGGTTTCTTTCCGCATCACCAACCAACTGCAAATGCAACGCTGTCTCTTGACCTAAATGATCGAATCAACAGGTGTGGGTCGCTGTTATTTGTTGTGTTCATAACAGCCTGTTCCAATTAAAGTAAAACTTAACTCTGCTGTGGAAACACATGTTGTGAAGGTCAATCTGCTCGTTCATTTGTCAGTTTCTTAATGTTTTGTTTAGCTAAATAAAAACATAGCTCGTATCAGACCATTAGATATACCATTAACTGCAGATTACGCAGACTTAACCAATTACCCTGCATGACTTTTACGGAACAGGATAGAGCTAAGTCAGTCCCACTGACACAGCAGTGTCTCCTATTAGTCAGCTATTCATTCTCTCCCTTGGTACTTATTGTTTACTGAGTTGCCAAGTTTCTCTCTTGGCATGAGGCAATTATTGCTTTGAATAATCTCACATAAGCACTCCTTAATTAAATGTAGTATGTAGAACAATACATCTTGATCATACATTTTTTCCATTGTGCGTGAGATTAAACTTGTTTTTTTATTCCTACTGATCATTAAAGGTGCTCTTTGTTCATGATGATTTTATACAGAGAACATATGGCTATAACCTCATTCAACAGTGATTAAGTATATAGTTGGCCTTTTTGCCTCAAGACCTATAATCCACTGCATGTAAGACTGCTGCATCTAAAGGGGATGGACGAAATGATAGCATTACCTGTACTATACTCAGTCTGATACACTGTGGTATTTGTGAGTATATTATAATTTCTGTTGAAGCTGTCAGAGAGGTCTTGGTATAATTTAAAATTTAAATTTAACACAGGAAAAATCAGCAACAACCACTTGCAATTGATGTCCCTGTTGTGAAAATTAGATAATTAAGTATCTATATTGCTATCTTGTCCATTTCTGGCAAAAAAAAAAACAAATAGTTTTCCGTTCGTATATTGGATATGTAAACTATGAAGATTTATAAATACAGATTGGCATCATTGAACGTCATGCATCCAAAAGTGAGGACAGAAACGCATCAGATGCAACCATCAATGGCAAATCATACAGAAAGAGACAAAATGGCAACTCTAGTTTACAGAAAACATAAATAAAATCAGAAGTAGTTAAACCATTGTTCGACATTAAAGCATTTCAAAAATTTAGCTTTTGAGTCAATCTGAATCAACACTGATTCTGTTGATTTTTCTATGTCAGCAAAATAATGAGTAAAATTGATGATTAAAGAAACAAAATAGCTTTCATTGTTTTTAAAGCTAACTTTTTATGAGATGGGTTTGGGTTGTGTCTGTAGGTGCTATTTGCACTGGTAGACCTACATCTCTGATCTGATGTGTGTACTCTGTCTGGGCGCGAGGGCTTTAAACCAGGTTGGTTTAAACCTCCATCCGTCCGCGTTGACGGGATTCTGCTTGTTGTCTCCGTTATTGACAGACACCTGAAGCACTGTGTGGGATGATGACTCACAACTGACTGTTGATGACTACAAATATTTTTGTGCACGCACCCACGCTCCCAAGCACATCGCGCCGCGCGCTCCTCTACGTACACTCGAGCACCACAGGCATCAAAGCCTTTACGACGAGCCAGGCAGGAAGAAGCGGGTCTTGATGGCACGATAGCCGGGCTCCTCTCGTCCCACCGAAACCAGTAAGTGATTTTTTATAAATGCCTGTGAGTCGAAAGCTGCACTGAGATGACTTGTATCGCCGTTTAGGCTTCAATAACTTCATCCTGCAAGCTTATCCAAGGTCATACACGGATCTCTTGCTGACTGGACGGCCGCGTGACTAAATGTTATTTCTGCCGCAGATGTATACCCGCTCCTCTCGCCCATGGACGAGCCGTGCTGGTTCGCATGGATTTCATCGTGTGCGCTGAGGCAGAGCTGATCTTATGGCAGACATCAACCCGCCGTGTACCATCGCCCGTCTGATCCACTGTGAGAGAAAATAATTCGACGTGAGATGAAAAGCCAACAACGACCATCACTGCTCGCCTTATCGGCACTACTGCTCTGCACATTACACCAGACAGCTGGGTCCCACAGATTGCATGGCAGCAGCTCTGCATCATCAACAACAACAACAACATCAGAGGTTAGAGGCAGGAATCATTTGGGGACCCAAAACTGGCTAAAACAGACTAACATTAGTTCTAACTATGGCAATCACCTCTACAAAAGTAGGCCATCGCCAAAGCTAAAAGAGGTAACAGGTCATGTGAATAGCTCCTCTCTCAACACTAGTGATGTTACTACTGTGATATCTGAAAGATCTGGCAGGGCGTTAACCTGGAGCCCGGAGGACGGGGTGTCACCACTGTGTGCCTACCGAGTGACCGAGGGAGGCATCGGGGGGCAGCTGTGTTTTCGATACACACTGTCTGGGTACAAGTGTCATAAGGGAGACTGCAGGACAGTGGTGTCTTTGGGGAATCTGGTGGCAAATATCCTCGTCAACGGCAGCGTACTGTTACAGTGGACCCGTGAGGGAGAATCCTCAACTACCGGCCCAGACATAAAGACAAAGGAGGCTGCAGCCGGTCAGACGAGCAGTGGGGATCCAGGGACAAATTCAACGAGAGAGGAAACTCTTCGATCAAACACTGTTTTCAGTGGCCGACGCCACAGGCGGGGCGGCTACGAGTTAAGCTGCTGGTGGAATGGAAGCTATACTCAGTTTGAGTGTGCTGGTGTCCATCTTGGATCTGGCTGCAGGGATTTCCTCCTGACTGAGCTGCATGAGACCATCCCCTACCGCATCTGCCTGCGCTCCCTGGTCCGCTCCGATGCAGCTCAGAAAGCAGACCAGCGGGACTGTGTGGAGTTCACCCTGCCGCCATCTGGGATGCAGGACATTGTGATTGCCATGACAACGGTTGGGGGAGCTATTTGCGTGATGCTGGTCATCATCTGCTTGCTGGTGGCGTACATCACAGAAAACATCATGAGCCCCACGACACAGCCCACTTACTACCACACTCACTCACGTCACTGATGTTGGCGTCACTGTTAAATAAAACAGCGTCCATTTAACCTCCATGATGACCATATCTAATCTCACAATCATCAACTCACTGTCACTAATACTTACTTTTCAATCAGCCACATACTGATATACACATCCCGTTATGACTGAATTAAAGCACAAACTACTGTGGCTCTGCAAATAACATGCCATGTCAACCTCTGCGAGGATGCACTGAACCAAAAGTACTGATAACCTGCATTTACTATCATCCAGTAGTTTACTGTGTTGTGTTTTTGTTCAGGGTTTGTTTGTGATCGAGTCTGTCAATCTGAATGCTGGCAGCATTTATACAGCAATACAATTAATGAAATGATGAAATGGCTTTTAGTGCATCAGAAACAGCAATTTTTGCTAAATGTGCAGCCTGTGAAAGTGTCCAGACGTGTGCTGTCCTTGCTGTGACACAGGAAAATAAAACATTACTGAATTTATTTTGTATCTACTTGACTAAACCATCCCATCTTCTGTTTTTGCTTTTGCCTCCAGTATGTATTTGTACCATTTTGTGAAGGGCAATACAATCTGGAGTACAATCTCCACTGTGACAAACATCTTGAGTTATAATGCATGTATGTCCTGCTGTCAGTGAATAAAGTACCATGAGGTCATTTGTAATACTGTACAGCTGTCCTTGTTTTTCTCCTTGTGTGATAGACAGTGTGTGCATGTGTGCATCCTTACATTCTTGGACAATTTTCAAGGATCAACAACAGACAGGAATTCAGAATATAAACCCTCCTTATAGCTGTCTGATGCAGGTCAGTCACTGGGGCTTGATCTGAGGTCTGTGTGTTTCTGGATGGTTGAACTGATATAGTGGTTTGAAAATGATGTAATCTCAAGGTATACATCATACCATCATACATCATCGTACATAAGATGGATCAATGAATAAGTCCAGTGGGAAGAATCTACACACTAAAGCACAATGTGACATAGTTAAACAAACAAACAAAACATACTGCTATTATATACACTGTGCAGATGCAGTATCATCCACATGAATGCTGGGGAATGTATGCAACCTTATCAAACTCACAGAGGTAGATTTTATGATATATGAAAGAGTGAAAACATGCAGTTGTCACTTCTACTTTTTCTACTAATACTACTGATATATGGATAAAGATACCAATACGAACTAAACTCAAAAATGTTGGTAAAGAACACAAATGAAAGGGAAAAATTATCATCAAAATCAGCACCATGTGTACCTACAACACTGTAAACACGTCAACTTGTAGGCTATATTAGTTAAGAGGTTATTTCAATGTACATCATTTACCTTTTATTCTACATAGTGCTTCATTTATAAGTTTAAGTATTCCGATGATGTATTTTGCATTTTGCACTCCTTTGTTTGGGCAGAAGGTTCAGTATTTACTTCTTTCACCCTTCATTAGGAATCACAATGTGCTCCTATATTTGGTAAATGCTCTGGGTGTTCTCATGGCCACTTTGAATATAGTAAAAAAAAACATGCCTTTCGAGGCAAATCATATTATTCAAAATAATTTTCTATTTACTGACGTCACGTCAGCGTCGCTACATGTTTCCGCGTTACAGAGAGGAAGCTCCGCCCTCAAATTACATCACTTCATAAAGCCGTTGCACACCAACGGGTCGCCGCCATTTTAACTTCCTGCATCATAAGAAGACGAGCAAATCGCACAGTATTTGTACTCGAAAACGTTTTCTTATTTAGTGTACCAACAGGGGTTTGTCTTGTTTGTTTTTCTTACAGGGATCGAACTCACGACATCCGTGTAGTTTGTGACCGCTCGTGTCTCGGGTTAGTGGTCAGCCGGAGAGTCGCAATGCCGAGCCACCCGCTGCGTGTAGCGGTTGTGTGCTCGAGCAACCAGAACCGCAGTATGGAAGCGCACAGTATCCTCAGGTAAAGACGAGCCGCCGGGAAGGAAAACAAAAGGAACAAAACCCACCACGAAGTGAAGCCGGTCTTTGAGCGGTGTTGAGCCGTTTGTGAGCCGGTCACGAGTGACGCTGACACGGTGACAGACCGACAAACAGACGGTCCGTCGGGCCTCATCCGCGGCTAACAATGGACTCGCTCCTTTCGAGCGTCACACAGGGGCTACTGCGTGCTTTAAAACGCTGTTTTCTGACTATGTTTCAGGTTTGCGTTTACCTGAAGTGAATATTCACACCAATGTAGTTTTCACACAGATTGAACGCTTTTCAAGAGACCGGCCCAAGTTTCTTTTTTATTTTTCTTCTCCCACATGTTGACGAGAGTGCCCCCTGTAGGGAATAATCCGGAAGGGAGCAACTGCAGCTTGTGCAACATCGTGTGTTTTTACCAGCTGTGACCTGTACTCTTTATTCACACACCATTGAGAAAGAATGCGGAGAGTTATTAGTTTTTATACCGACGGTGTGTGTCGGGACATTTCAGACTTGCGCTCACTCCCTAGTGGCTGTTTATTTTGTTATCTGAAAGCAGCGCATCTCTGTCTACAGACTGATCCACAGGCCAAGAAGCCTCTCGGTGACAGTCACCCAAATGGTGAACTAAAGTGAATCTCTTATGTAGTGGGAGACGAGGTGAAATGGCCCTCTGCACTTTTGGTGTGCAATGATTTCTGTGACATAAACCGGACCATGTTATACATTTAATTTATATCTTGTTTTTGAGGAGGCAATTTGAAAATCTGACCTAATTGGTTACCCTTATACTTTAGGCGCTGATGCATTCTGCTCTTGTGTTTTCTTGTGTCCAATGTTTATTCCAGATTTGGTATGTAATTTATTATCTTGTCCTTTTTTCATCTTTGCAGCAAACGTGGATTTGAAGTGCGTTCATTTGGGACGGGGTCTCACGTGAAGCTACCCGGTCCTGCCCCGGATAAACCAAATGTCTACGACTTCAAAACAACATATATACAGATGTACAACGACTTGGTCCGCAAGGACAAGGAACTGTATCCCCCCCTTCTCACTCACATTTCCACACACGCACGTTCACACTGTATTGTGGAAGCCAGATAAGTAGACACACGGTACGTGTGTGGTGTTTAGATATTAGGGATGGCGTTTGAACGGCACAGCAGACGGGACTGCAACGATGAGTAAATCACATGCAGGGGTTTTAAAATGTGTTACGGATGTATGCGTTATGAAGCCCATGATATACGGGGGTGCACATTGCAATACAACAGCAAGTGAAATTTGGTGAAGATCATGAGTTTTTGTTGAGGCAATCGGATTTAAAATGATACTATTAAAACCTTAGTTTATATTGTTGAATGTCTGTATTTACAGGGGTTTTCATGGTACCACTGTTCTTCCTTGCAAGTGCAGTTTCCCTGTTTTCAATATGAATCTTTTCCCATTTTTACAACATATTTTTGCAGCTTGAGTAACTCCAGATCGGTAGACTCACTTGTCTTTAATTGTTTAACTGAAGCGCTGGTGCATCAGTAATTCATTCTGTATAACTGTCGGGCGAAAGTATGCAGAAATCTGACCACAGGAGAGAACTCTATGAGCAAAGAAGAACAGTGGTGACACGTAGACAACAGACTGAAGTAGGACATTAACCAAAGTTTGTCAATGCAAACGTCAAGAAGCCTGTAAGAGACATAAACATTGTAATAGTGAGTGATTTCAACCGCATTTTCTTTCCACGTGAGTAAATTGTCTCAGAAACTTTGTGTTCATCAAACCTATTGTTCCTGTAAATAAGTGCTGATAGGTGGAGCTGTTTTTGCTTGACAAAGTAAAAAAAAAACATGTTTCTATTACCAGTTTAATGTTAAATATTTTAAGGCTTCTTTTAGTCCTCGAATACCTCTAATTATTCTTCAGATAGTTGCTTCGTTTAATTAATGACGAGGCTAAATGTAGGACTAGTTCAGGCTTTTGATGTCTAACCAACGTTTTACTTATTTATTTTACTGTATTTCAGGTGTAAATTTTGCCAACCCACGGTAGGTTGTCTTTACTGAATTGTAAACCAGCTGCTCTGTAAATCTGAATGTATTGTGAATAGGAGATGTACATGCTGCCTCTATGCAACTATTACTGCAATCATGTGTTGTATTCTTGCAACTTTGCATGGATGTCTTCAAAATATAGTCTATTATTGTAGACAATTCACCATGGTGGTTGGTCTTTTTTTTTTATTTATATATTTGGCAATGTCTTGTGTATGGCCATGTAGTGACAGAGCAACAGACTTATTTTGGATACATTTTAGAAACGTGTAGGAATATTGGACAGAACATAACATCTGTATTAAGGATCACACACGTCTGCTGGCCAGTATCAGAATGGCCCGTTAACATTTACTGGCATCGCCCTGAAATGTCAGTTGGTAGTTTCTCCAGACACCACTAGAGGTTGCTGCAGTTCATCTAATTATAACACTTGATGCCGTTCAAGTGTTTACTCCACAATGCAAACAAAATACGCAGCCTCATTCAGACAAACTAATATCTTACTATTTCAGTTTCAGACAGTCTTACTGTGGTTTTTGGTATTTTTCAGTGTTCTATTCGTTGAAATCCTTTCTCTGATAGTGTTATGTGTTGATGTGTTGTGTTACCTTGGAAGTGTTTCTCTCGCTCCTGCTTTGTTCCTTGACCTCCTACCTCTTCAGATACACACAGAATGGCATCCTGCACATGCTGGACCGCAACAAGCGCATCAAATCAAAGCCGGAGCGCTTTCAAAACTGCAAGGACAAGTTCGACCTGGTCATCACCTGCGAAGAGAGAGTCTATGACCAAGTGCTGGAGGGTGAGGCTTCTCATAAGAAATGTTAAATCACTGAATGAATATAGTCACTCAGAGCCTCTTGCAAGTACTGATTTCATACTTGCCCCACAATTATTTGTATGCAGAACAAGTTTTTACTCCAAACACTTCTGATTGTGTGGCACACAATTTCTCTTTCGTCTGTTGTTGCTCCCCAGATCTGAATTCAAGAGAGCAGGAGACTCTGCAGCCTGTTCACGTCATTAATGTAGACATTCAGGATAACCACGAGGAAGCCACGCTGGGCGCCTTCCTCATCTGTGAGCTGTGTCAATGTGTGAGTGTCTCCTCCTGGGATTCTTAAATGCGGTTGATCACACTGAGGGCATAGTACAGACATTCTGTTACCAAAGTCATTCATGACACTGTGGTTGAATAGTGAAAAAAGGATGCATTTGAAAGTAATCTGAATAAAATGGTCTTTTAAGTAGACATAATCTGCCCTGCAGTATATTTCCATAATGGGCGCTTCAGTGGTCACATAATGAAAATGCTACAAAAAGGTTAAAACATGGTGTGCAGATTGATTAGAGTTCATCGGTGCTAATGAGTTGTGTTTTTAATGTGTTCCTCCTCCGCCCCTGCAGATCCAGCACACTGAGGACATGGAGGATGAGATGGATGAGCTCATACAGGAGTTTGAGGAGAAGAGCAACAGGCCTTTTCTTCACACCGTCTGTTTCTACTGATATACGATAGACATTTTGCAATAAACACAGTCTCGGATTACAAGCAATCAAACAGTAGTATATGGAGACACACACACACACACACACACACACACACACACACACACACTTGTTACTCCTCAGTCCTCTACAGAAGAGTCCATACACATTGTGTGCCTACACAGCCACACTTACACACACACACAGCTTTGGGTTAGGACCTAACAAATGGCTGCTGTTGGACATATTGGTGATGAGTTTCTCCTCTATGCAGAGGACGGACATGCTGCTCTCACTCTGCCTTTATTTCTGCGGATCAAGGTCCTCCCTCCATCCCAGTCCAGTGAAATCACTCAACCATGTCTCCTCAGGGAGAGCCATAACACCCCCACCCCTGATTCAACAACTGCTCCTCTCTTTTTGTTCAGTGCAGCATATTAATGATGATTTTAGTTTTCTCCAGATGATATATAATTGTAATTCATTTAAGCATATTTGTCAGATTTTTATTCCTGACTTCGGACAGTGTAAATGTGTTTCTGGGGGTCAGCAGGAGTATTATTTGAACTGAATGCGTGTTTTTTTTTGTTTTTTTTTGTGCAACCATGTGTTGTAGACTAGTTTGGATTCTGTTAAAGTGGGCTGATAATGAATAACCAAACCTAGACCTCTCTGAGGCTCTCCTCCCATATAATGTGTTGATTCTTATTTAAAGTCAGATATGCTGTTTTTCAGGGCATAGTACTTATTTTTCCTTTTGTAAATGTTAACGAATTCAAGCATTGTAATTATTTGCGAACTGCGAGCTCAGCTCAGAGTGCCTGATTTTTCTGTATGTACATATGAATCCTCTAAAGAAAGAAACATCTCTAAGAAACGTGTCGCGACTCTTTATTTGCTTTGTGATGTAAAATGAGTATTGATACACAAAACTATTAGCGTTCAGTTACATCAATTAACCAATCAAGCTCACTGTGATAGCTTACAGGGCAGATAGAAGCACCTGCTTATTTTCATGTTTAATTTAGCTTTAATACAGGACCAAGTGCAGCTTGGATTATTTTATATTTCACATGAATATGCATAAAATAATAGTAACGCTAAAAATAAATAATGTACATAAGTATAACGTTAAATGTAAGGTTTATCTTAGGCGTTGTCAGATATAATGGGGCTTTGTCTTAACTTAAACTATCCTGAAACATTTCATTAGTAACGTTAAGCGACTGTTGGTTAGAAAAAAGTAACCATGACAAGTCATTTCGTTTATTACGACGTGTTGAGGCCTGTGACTGGTTAACATCACCGACTCTCCGGTGGTGCTGAGAGCTGTAGGACTGAAGGACACGCGATGAGAGCAGTTATATCATTTATCTAAACGTGTCTTCTCCACACAGTCCTTTAATTAGTCGTCTACAGTGTCTGGGTGTGCAGCGTCGTGCTACTTTTGATTTCTTCCAGACAGACGTTTCTGACGGACATGAACGCGCTTTTTGACCGCTTTCACAACTTTATCTTACCGTTAGTGCGAGGGGAGGACGGCGTGTGCGCGTGCACCTGCGGGAGGTAAAGTACAATCCAGCTGTTACTGCACGAGACCTGATGTTGTGTTGTGGTAAAGGGAAACAAACTCCACGCTCATCTTCCTCAACTTTATTTGATGGCTGCTGTTGAGTTGCTGTTAATCTGACTGGACAGTGAGCTCCAAACAGGCTCAATAAGCCTGAATTCACCCAGCGTTCATGACTCCTCGTCATGAACCCCGGGTGTTTCTGTCATGGCTTTCCGCTCAGAATATCACTTCTCAGTGAGTAACTCTCTGTCTGTGTGAGTAAGAGCTGTTCGGACTGTGTGCTGCTGATGCAGACGGATTGGAGCACGTATCTTCAGGTGATGCCTGTGGTTCTAACCCGGGGCCTGTCAAACCCCTGTTGTCTGGGGTTGTCAGCAATCTGCTGCTGTTACAAACACTGTAATGGAGTTGTTCTTACATTGTGCCAATATGGTGATAAACCTGCACTTAGAGATGCACTATTAATGATATTATAGACACTCAGTTTTTTGATTTTTGTATTCCTAATATTTGTAAGACTGTGGAATTTATATATATATATATATATGAAAGGTCAGATCAGTAATTTAATTGACCACATGGATCAGGGTGGCTTAACACCTCTGCTAATCTGTGTTATTATACAACACATGTAGTTATTATATCTCTTTCTTAAGCTCATAAAACTCATGTAAAATGTATCTGATTAAAAATACATTATTACGCAAACAACGCTGTTTTTGTTAAATTCTGAATATTTGACTGTTTTTCTATTGAAACTACAAATAGACTAAAGGGGTGTGAATATATTAGATTTTGGTATATGTCTTTCATCATGGGTTTATCTTTGTCTCTACTGTGCTAATCTTCCCACTCTGTTGCAGGCATCACGTATATCATGTCATTTCATATAATGGGGCCCAGTCCATGGACTCCAGAGAAAACTCCGTTTTAAGTGACAACATGACGTGGCAGGAGATGAACGTGATAGTCGGACTGCTCTTGGGCCTCTGCATCAGCTTGTTCTTGCAGTGGCTGGAAAGGATTTGGCACTCACGGCTCAAATATGAGAGAGAAAACCAAATGAATGGTGAGTAAAGTCAAATGAAACTAAACTTGCATATGGGGAAAGCTTAGGGGTTTCCAAAGAAAGGAACTTTGCAGTGATTTACAGTACATAATACCTTTATATATTTAACATTCTTGTAAGTGAAAGTTTCCAGCCTGACATGATGTCACAGCAATCATACTTTGCTGTACAGAAAAGGTTGTGTTTGTGGCCTGTGATGTATGGAAAGGAGAATTCAAAGAAGAAAACCTTGCCCTAATTTTTCCAAAAATGATTTTACATAACCTTAACCCATTCTGGGATACACGGCTTATCTCTTCCACGGCTTATCGTGAGGACTCTGTCCTCAAAGGAAACAGTGAAATTTTAATCAAATAAGTTCCACATCATCAGTTACAGATTGGACACCACAGTTAAAACCTTTCATCCGTTTTGTGTTGGGTAAAAGAAGGTGTCATTGACAGACCAGGTGCAAAATAAATGGCCTCTTAAGTGCCTTCTTTTCCCTCCCATTCATCTCTTCTTGTAATAATAGCTTGTCTGAGTAGTTAAATAATCACTTTCCTCACTCATCGTAATTAGATGTTTTTTCTCCTTTAACTACCATTCCGATTTTTCACTACCTCCACTAAATTCATGTAATGTATCCCTCCTCCTTGCACACACAGAAACACACATTTAGGAGCCTTTCATCAGCCCAGTTTCCCCTCTTTCTTTCCAGGTGTGGGTTTCTGGTCATGGATGCCCAAATTCAGTAACACAAAGGAGTTGGTTACACACGGAGGACTCCAGGGGGAACATGCTGCACATCAATTAAGATGTGTACCATAATGTTAATGACACATAAAGATGAAATGAGGAATAAATTCAATAGTTACAGAGTGTGGTGTTGTTTTTTAAATAACCAAATAGTCTTTGAAGGTCTGATTGAGTCCAAATATTCTTAGTTTTTGATATTTGTTGGCCGTTTTGTGATTTTAAGAATGAAGTATTAGTATCGAAGCAGAACCACAGATTCTTTTCTTTGTCTTCTTTGACCTCCACTGCATTCCACTTCACGGTTTTTCATTGAAGGAGTATTACTTCTAGCAATTAATTGCTTTTCAAGCTGAGTTAAACTACAAATTGTTTGGTTATGTGTGAGAACTTGAACATAGTACATGTGTACATGCAGGCATCCTATAATGTCATATAGAGCTTTATCATGGAGCCTATTTAAAACCAAGGACAGCTTCATGCCCTTGACTTTGCAGAAGAAGCTTCCTGAAGCCCTCGACCATTACTGTGAAATATGGAAACCCATATGGTATAACCATATATGATTTTCTATAGGACCTCTTCCAATTGTAACCCCTCCTCTCTGCTTGCACCTCTACCGTTATGTATTTTGCTGCAATAACCTGTCTTTCAAAACCGTACATACATATTTATAATGCTTGACTATGTCATTGCGAGGATTTTAAAAATGGTTTTGTAGGGTTATACTAATAGAGGCACTGACTCTTCAAATGTGACTTATCTTCACTGTCGGTTGATTATTCAAGCATCTTAAACTCAAATCCAAGCCACAGCTTGTATCATATAAAGCAACTGTATTCTACAAACATCAGAACTTCTGCTGTTTATAAAAACACAAATCCATTTAATCATTTCAACAGAGACACACTGTGCACAACACTTACATACTGTCATTACAGACACACATTCTGTAAAGTACACTTTTACAATGTATACATTAGTAGAATCAAAGAGTCTCAGGCGTCATTTGTGTTTTGTTAAGTTAATTGATTATCTGCCCCCGACCTGCTGAACTCATCCTCCGTCACAGACGGTCCAACAGTCTTTCAGATATAATCTACCAGACTAGTTAAAGAGGCAGGACACTAATCTTTCTAATGCAGGCCACTCTGCATCTACAGCTTAAACTGGAGTTCCATCCTTAGGAGGAGAAGATCCAGTTTTGTCTTCCTTTTCCATCTTGCCGTCGCTGTCAGTGGGGGCAGCAGGCTGGGCTAAACTCTCCGTTGCTTTGGCAGCATCTTCCCAGTCCTGTCCAGCTGCGGTGGCACTTTTGCCTTCTGCTGACTGGTCATTGATGTCTGAAGGAGGTGGTGTATTTTCACCTTCTTGTTTTGTTTCCACCTCGAGGACTGGGGCGATCACCTGCTGTGCCTCAGGTGCCTCACTGAGGGGCAGAGTGAAGCCCATTTTGCCTCCACTGACTGTCGCTCCAGCTGGGGGAGGAGTAAGGGTCTTGGCCTGAGCCTCCACATCTCCATGCAGCCAGTCCATCTTCTGAATGTGTTGCTTGACAGCGTCATCAACCCGAGCATCAATCATAGCCTCCGTCAGGACGCCATCTTCAGAGGAATATGCTGCCGCCTACAAGAGAACAAGAGTCAACACATCTGTTCCATACATTGATTTAAATCACGAAGATGAAAATCTTGTAGTAAAGAATTGTGAAATTAAGATTGACAGTGCATTTTTTACTGCTATGGATTCACAAAGACTACAGGGAACGTACCTGCCAGGCCACACCCAGCTTAGAGATCTCTCTTCCTGACATGCCTCCTGTCCGCTTTGCTATCTCAGAGCACTTCTGACCATAGTCGAACTGTGCCAGCTTCATCCTCCTGCACACAAACAGATCGATTAGTAAATGATTTTACCACAGTTTAGCTAGCCTGAATGCAATTTGATTCTATGCATCCCTAGTGTGCAGTGGTCTATCTGAACAGCTGTGTTTCTGAAGATTGTACTCACTGCCTCCCTCCTGTGGCAGGCTCCAGCACATATTTGTCAAAGTACAACCGCACCAGCCTCTCCCTCTCATCAGGACCAGGCAGAGCAAAGTTCACTATTTCGTCTATGCGGTCGTTTATGGCCCAGTCAAACTGCTCTGGTTGGTTACTGGCCAACACCAGCATGAACCTGACAGAAAAACACAGAAATCAAGCAGCTTAGAGACGTAGGCGAGGTTTTATAGGTAAAAATGAAGTGAAGTGTAACACACATTTAAGGTTTAATTTGTACAAATGTAAATATTATTTTACTTGCTGCTCTGCTCTCCAGTACGATACAAGAATGCATTCAAAGTGGCTCTCAGGTCCTCACTGATCTTCTCCTACAAAAGAACAAGAGCAAAGACGTCATGTTAAGAGGAGTTTAAAGGGTAGGAAACATGGTTTCTGGAAAATGAAATGCATGCAGACTTACAGTGGATCTCTTGCGAAGGAACGCATCAGCTTCGTCAACAAACAGAAGAAGTCTGTAACAGGATAAAAACACACCATAACCTTTATCTCTCGATATCATATCTGAACAGTATTGCGGTTTGTATATCTGTAAGTTAATAATAAGTAGCCTACCCGCGCCGACTTGTGCCCGCCCAGTCAAACACTTTGTGCATGGCTGTCACACCGTCACGGCCCATTGGAGCCACGTCACCACCAGTCATTATTGCATAGTCCATCCCAGAATGCACGGCCAGCTTCTACTCGATAGAAAAATAAATGCCTCTCCGTTAGAAAAAGCATAATTTTCTGTATATGTGAATGTTTACATCAGTCATTGTTCAGTCCCCAGGTATACCTTAGCAAAGAGAGTTTTGCCCGTGCCTGGAGGGCCGTACATGAGGATGTTCCTGTAGAGGCCGTTGTTCTGCCTCGTGTTTCTTGTTGCAATGGCGATATCACGTACACGCTCTTCCAGGGAAGGCTAAGAGATAGAAAAATGCATTTATATGAAGCGGTTGTTGGCTTCATCCTCTGGGAAGACTTTGACGTCCACTTACACTGAGCACAACTCCCTCGAGGGCATCCTGAGGTTTGCTCTTCAGCCGCTTGGTCGTCTGAATAGTTTACAAAAAAAAAAAAAGGATAATTAGCATATTATAATCTGCACTTGACAAAATAAGCAAAAGGGTCAATTGCTAATTGGCTACCTTGATTGGATGCTTGATTGCTTCTGCGACGGTGAACCGGGACGTTTCCCGCACCAGTGACGGCTTCCCGAGCCGGGCCTCAATGTAACGTCCCGCCACCCCTGTGGCATTTCGGGCGGAATAAACTCCCACAGCTAGAAGCGTCAGTCCTGCCACCTGGTGGTGTGATGAAACAGTTACACAACAACCTCATACTGTATGCTGTGAGAATCATAAGAAACAACTGATTTCAGGTTTGCCCTCACCGACAGTCCAAACATTTAAATGGAAATATATGGTTACTCTTTGTCTATATAGGACGTCATCAATGGTGTAATACTAGCACATGTAAATATGTTTACAAAAAAAGGATTTTTTTATTATATACCATTCGGCTTTTAACAGAATTTGTGAGCCTTAAAAGATCTAATGTGTTAAAATGAAAACCATCTTTATGAATAGAAAGGCTTCGGTCAGTGTAAACTACAGGCATCTGTAAATATTGTGTTCTTTTATACCTAATTGACTTGTATTTTGTAGAAGAGATATTTCGGAGAAATCATTTAGTTGCATTTAGTCCTTCCATCAGCTATAAAATGTATGTATGTATTTATTCCATTCACTAAAGTGATTGCTGATGGAAAGAGAAGCCTCACCGTGGCGGTCACTTTGTCCCAGTCTGACACAAAGGCCCTGAATCCTTCTCCAAACACAGCACCTGCAGTCCTAAAAGCAACCATACGTCAACTGTCAGCATGTCTTTTGGGCATTTACAACATGGAACTGTCCAATAATCATTTACTTAAACAGAACCGATACCTTCTAGAATAAGATGAGATAAAACTATATTTATACTGAGTGAAATTGCTGTTAAATACTAACAAAAACTCCCTTCACACCTTTAGATTCAACTAGTTGCAACAGTTCATTGCATGATCAAGAACCATCATTACACTTTATCTAATCGCCATCATGACAACTAGAGTGTGAAATGTCAGTGCGTCTTTACTTGATGGACTCCAGGACGGTCTGTCTGTGTTCTGCAGCCTTCAGACGGATCTGCTCGCGGATTAGATCGGCGTTCTCTCGCTCCACGCGGGCTCGTGCTTTAGTCTCGGCCTCTATACGCAGGAGCTCATTCTTGTGCCTCAGATCCATCTCGTGGTTTATCGTCGCTATAAAAACCCACGACACATAAACAAGTACATGTAAACCACCGCTCAACGTCTTCAAAAGCTTCTACAAGACTGTCAGTGGTGAAGTCTGGTACATTTCCTCATGGCCTCCTGTTTCTGTACAGACTCCTCCTGTTTGCGAAGGTTGTCCTCGTTCAGTGCTTGCTATTGAAAGAAAGGGAAAAGAATGTCGGTACTGCGTCTCATTCTAATGCAGTTCATTCTTGACATTTAGGAGATGACCTCACCTGTTGCCTTAGTTGGTCCTCATATCGCTGTCTGGCCAGTTTATCTTGAAACTGAGCTCTCTGTAACGAGGCAGAGAACAACCAGCTGTAACCGTACAACTCAAAATGTTCCAGTTCATTGCTGCAGCATGCTTACAATTATTCTTAAAATACTAATAATTTTCTGTTCTCACCGCTTGATGCTGCTTGGTCTCCTCGTTAACAGTTTTCCTCCTCTCGTCCGCATGGATTCGTATCTGGTCGCCTTTGAGCTGCTCAACGGCTGCTTCGTACTCCTGAGAGAGGCGCACAAAAGAATGACAAACATCTAATAAACCCGAGAGACACACTGGTGAACATTCAAATCCACTGCAACCGCAAGATCGACTGGGTTGTGCTGTGAAAGTCTTTAAAAAGATAGAAGTATAAACGCATCATCAACAATCACGAGAAGTGATCTCTGACTTGGGAAATCAAAATGTGTCTGGTTTTATCTAGATGCAGAACAAAGATAAAGCTCCAACTGATATGCATTTGACCCAGTAAATAATGTGCAATATTTTCTACTTTTTCTACTCGCCGTTTGCTCAAATGTTTAACTTCGACACGATAAACTAAAATTTAAAAACTGGCGAATATTTCTCATACTCGACTGGCTGTGTCGCTGACAATTCTGATGTTCAAACTGCAGCACAGACTAAAAATAGAGATTGGAAGTATTCACACTCAACTCTACTACATCTCTCAGCTCCATTATTTACACATACGTTACATACATGGAATATGACCTCTGCATTGACCCCTTCCCAAGTGTCTTCAGGAGCAGTGGAGCTGCTATAAACCACCCGGGGAGCAACTTGGGATTCAGTGTCTCGGATTAAGGACACTTGGAAATGGGGACAGTGTACCCCCTGAGCCACAGCCGCCGGAAGCAACATATTATTTTTATTAATGGAAACTAAAACTGGCAAAATCAACTTAATTCTCTGGAAAATCACCGACGTCCTGCAGCTGATTTACTGTACCTTCATTTTGCTCTGATGCTCCATCTGGGTGGTCTGCTCCTGCATCCGAGACAAATCCAGAGCCTCTTTGGCATGTCCTGGATAGTGAGGAGAGGCAACAACTCAGGACTGAACGATGGCTTGATTGATCAGTGATCAATGTACCATGATGGTGTGCCTCTGAATCATGACTCCCTTTCATACTTTAACAGATAAATGTTTCATCATGAACACAGAACCAGAGAGAAACACTTGGTGAACCACTACATGCACGTGGAACAAGTGGAATTTGTGTTTTGCAAGCCAGATTGCAAGGTGGTGACCTTTGAACCCACTCTAGTAGTTTGAAAGGTGAGAGCAGCACAGGGTCGATCTCATAGGCCACCAGCAGCTTCACGAAGGTGACATGCATGTGGAAATGTACAGATTCTGTGGGCCTCATTATTTCAGCTGTAACATCACTGGAGCGACCACCACCCTGAGCCAGAGAGGAGCTGGACGCTGGAGCAGCATGACTACAACCTAGTTATAATCAGGAGGAAGCTCCATTGAGCTACAAGGCTCTGCAGAACACTTACGGGACTTATCGAGCTCCTTGGCCGCATGAGCAGCTCGCTCCAGCCCGGTGGGATCGAAGTTGCTCCATTTGTCCTTGGGTTTATCTCCGCCGCCGCTGGAGCCCCCGGCCGGCGGCGGAGGTGGTGGAGGCGGAACCGGGAGACCAGGAGGCACCTCGGGCTGCCCCTTGTTCAGGCCGAACAGCCACGACATTTTGACGTGAATAAATAAAGCACAGTTTAGGCGGTTCTGTGAGGAGCAAAGGCTGGCAGTTGCTCCAGAGCTGTCACCGCACTTCCTCTACACGCGTTTCATGCCGCAACCTTCTGCGCAGGCGCGACAGCGAGAACGGATTGGTTTGAATAACTGCATCGACGATTGGCTGGTGACAAGTACTTCTTCTTCCTATTGGCTGTACAAAAACCGTCTTCAGTAGAGGTCATTGATGTAGTCCCACCCAAAATTGATACGGTAGCCGCAGAGGGTCACGAGGCGTACAATTTAAAGGAAAGCCATTTTTCTTTTGGTTGCATCAGACTGGTTCTGGTTTAGTAAGTCATAGGTCATTGGTGGTGTGATGTTTGCTTTGTACTAAAGTGAGCATTCATCGGGAGTATATGTTAGGATCGGGGGAATGTTTAGAGTGGTGCTTCTCATAAAGCTCTGGTTTATTGAATAAAGATGATTATGTCTTCATGTTCTCTAATAGTTTGATTCTATGCATAGTGTGTGTGATCATGGTTATACAAAAATAGAACATTTGTAGGGACATAACAGCCAACATAAGGACTACAAATGACCAGTCCAGAATAAGATATCTCTCAAAACCACACCCGTAACATGTTTGAAGTGAATTAAGACTGAACGACAAAGATATATATCAAAATGTTTAATGAACTAAACATTCAGAGGATAACATCACCACAATAAATGGTAAAATATATATTTACACAGATACACAACTCATATGAAAAAGCTTGGGGTCAGTCTTCTGCCCAACCTCCTGAAAACTCACAATCTGCATGAAATCATAATTTAACAAAAGGTTGCATATGCGAAACACAAGGAGGTTTGTGTAAATAAATAATCACTTCCTGTATTATGATACTGGAGGTAATCAGGACAGCTGTCGTGGAGAATTATGTAGGCATCGCTGGGAAAGTCTGGCACACATGATGGAGGTGTTGGGTTGAAATCCGTGAATGGAGCAGAAGCAGGGCTGTCTGTGGACAAACTATTGCTATTCTGTTTAATGTCAGGTGCTATCATGGATTATTATTATATCTTTATTATGACATAAGAGTGCACAATTTCAAAAATACCATTGAATTTACTCTTAACTTAACTTGAAATGGGTCACCTGAAAATAAATTACAACTATATTCAGGAGTTGTCCAATATCAGTATTGTTAGCAAGGGCCCTAATAGAAGGAAAAGGCATTTACAATTGTCAGATCTGTTTTCAGGGATGCACTGCTTTAGGACAACACAATAGCAGCATGGGTGCAGGGTAGCATAGTGAGTGGAGAAGCCGCATTTCAAAAGGTCAGGGATCAAGGAACTTCAACATTAATCATCCGTCCTGCTGGAGTGTCCTCGAGCAACATAGCGCATCCTTTTCTTCTTCAGGGATGCTGCTCTGTAGACAATTCTGTTTCAAATCTACCTAACAAGGATATTTTACATCTTTGTGGGGCTAACCCATGTGAGAGTCCCATGTTGTATTATACACGGTGCAGGCAGAGACACAGATCTGGCATAATGTCATAGTCTTCTCTCATCAGTCTCATCATGTGACCAGACCCTGGGTCAGCTATGTGGGTCGTTGAGCATGCAGCCCTTCTGGTATTGTGATTAATGAAGTATCACAAAAATAAAACCATTTAAAGAAATGAGTCTGATATTATTATACGAGAATGACAACTGTAAAGCAAAGGGGGTGAGTGTGTGCCTGACTGACCATTTCATGAACAGCTCCACAATCCAACACCAGCATTCTTTTAACCACATAACTGGAAATCTGTAGCAAGTCATTTACTGTAGCAAAACAACACGGGAGAAGACACCAGAAGGCTCTTTGCCGTCGCCCACCGCTGCACGGAAGCCTTCCTGCTGCCGAGCCCGGGCCAGCTTTGCAAGCGAGAGGAATGACCGAGGTTCTGTGACCGCCAGATCACTGATCACACGTCGGTTGAGCTGAACGCTCGTCTGTTTGGAGGATACACGTCACATATAGACAGAGTGAACAACCAGCACAAAGAACGTGGACAGGACTGATGCAATACTGTAACATTCAGCACAACTGACCTTGGTGAGGTTGTGCATCAGGGCGGGATACTTCATGCCGTGCTCTCGTGATGCTGCTGCAATGCGTGTGATCCAGAGCTGAAGAAATAAGAGCACAACAAGTTATATTGATTACTTTGCTCAATTAAATACAATCATTATTTTTGTAAGAAGTCAACATGCCCATTCTGTGAACAATGAATACACCCTTCTGCAACTGGGATTGGAAGGACAGCTAACTTTTAATAAGTGCTGGAACAGACTGGAGGCATGTGACCCTCAAAAATGAACCTAAGTCTACCTTACATCGCCAAACACAGGTTATGGTTTGGGAGTGAACATGAAGAGGTGAAAACATTAGCATTCCTTTAACGATTTAGAGTAACTTCAAATGTATTTTAGGGCACTAGTACACACGATCAGTAGCTAGACTATTACCACTCTTTGATAGGTTTCAGTTGTATTAAAATACAGCAAAGGGCTGCAAAACTGCTGCACAGTGACTGTCTACAGCATACACTGCCCAAAGACTCTTTACAAGTGAGGCATACTAATCATATGTGCCCGCCATGCGTCTGTTGTTGTAGTGGACATTTGTATGCGAGTTTAAAGAGTCTCACCGTCCTCATGTTGCGCTTCTTGAGCCTTCGAGCTGTGGTTGCGTAGACGAAAGCTCTCCTCACCGCCCGCACAGCCAGACTGTAGCAGCGGTTCTTTCTGCCTCTAAAGTGCTGTTGGAGGAGCCGACATAAACACAATGACCATCATTATGATGTCAATATTAGATTCTAACCGAATCAAACAGCAAAGGTCATTTCTACACAACCGACATATATAAAATATTCAAACAATGATTCTGATTTAATTACCACACAGACTACAACATGGTACACATCACAACATGCAACAGCTTAGTACCTTCTCCTCCAGGAAATAGTCGTGTCCTTACCCGTGCATGTTTGAGAACGTCTTGAACTTTCCAATATCTGTCAGGTCCACGGCTCCTGATCCAACAAGACAGCGTCAGGAATACCATTGTCTGTTCTCCAGGTAAGCTACTTCAACACAGGATGCTTTCTAACAGAGTGGAAATACTATTTAAGTGACCTCAACCCAGCTCCACTTGTAAAGAGACTGTTAGTGAGCACAGTTTCCCATGCTGTAATACGACTGACAGAGGCGCACTAGGTTCGTTCGATTTAAAAACCCGGACATTTCGTGTATCTCTGCTCCGCCCGGGGTTTTGTTGAAAACACCCGCGTGCCGCGTCATAATTAAAACAAATGAATTATTGCAAATGTATGACTATGGGTTATTAAACAATGAAAGAGGAGTCGCGACCAAATTGTCACAAGCAAGTCAAACGAACTATTAAAAAACACGCTCTTCTTGTGCATATGTGAATCTAGAGGCGGAAGACGTCGGTCAACAAAACACGCGCTTCCATAAGAGTTGTGACGCAGCGCCCGGTGGCTGCTGGGATAGCAGGCGGTGGAGGTCAGAGAAACTCCAAAATGTCGGTTGGTGGTCTCACGTCCTTGAGCCGCTGTGGTGTGTTGGCGCTCCGCTCCCCCGCAGGACTGGTGGTATGTCGAAAGCCGTTTGAACAAATAAACAGTATCGATTAGCCGTTATTGTCAGTTACTGTTTGTGCCGTCGCTTTGCTCAGGGAACGTCATATCACAGCTGACGTTACAACAGGGCTCCGTCTATGCAATGTAGTCCAACTACTAGCTAATAATTAGCTAGCCCGTACTGTAGATACACTGACTCAACAGTAACATAACGAGTTAATGTCTTCTTTATTAGCCGGTGTGTGTTTAGCTTGAACTGTCACTTTAGACGATTCATATCCACGTCAACACAAAACATGGCAGGGTACGAGTTCAACTTGTAAATATGTTTCAGCTAAGTTCATTATAGAAAAGTTAACTTTATATAGTACCTGTTCGTTAACATAACTAATTAAAGTAAATCAGTCTGACATATTTTATGGACTGCATTCAATATAAACAGACAAACCATGTCACCGCAATGTGTCATAAGATGAACTGTGATTTCTGGTATCAGTAAATCATGATTTGAATGGAATGTTTTGTTCTTTAACGAACAAAAAACTGCTTTGTTATGTTTGAGTTACTAAACACCAGATGATCCACTGATATTTAGAGGATAAGAGTAAAGGTAGTCAAAGGAGCAGGTCGTGTTATTAGTGTCTAGTAGTGTGTGTGTGTGATGCAAACAAAATAATCATGTTTTCTCCCCCCTGGTCCCTGCTGTCAGGCGGTGCGGTGTGCCCAAACAGCAGCGGCTCCGGCAGCTCAACCCAGAGTAAAGAAGTTTCAGATATACAGATGGGATCCAGACACTCCAGGAGACAAACCCCGCATGCAGACCTATGACATCGACCTGAACACGTAGGTGTTTCAGCTTTTCCCCCTGCCATCAGAAAGCCCAGTACTGTATGTGCTGCATTGTGTAAATCTGCGTTCTCAGTCATTAGCTAGTAAGTCACAACAAGGTGTCCTGGTATCATAAATGATAGGAGAGGTGAAGCTGAATCCTTTATTATCTATTCTAAGACACCTTGGAGTGTGTTATTGCATGTATTCTATGGCCACTTGTTAAACAACTGGGGAGGTTGAGTTTAAAATGAATTGACACCCAGCATACAGTCACAAACAGGCAATTATCTGGGACCTTTGTGAATAGATTTTTTGTGTGGTGAAGAGGACTCCGATTGCTCTCTGATATCTCTTATAATGTATATTGCAGAATATGTCCCTTTTATTATCGCTGCTATTAGCTGATCGTGTTCACTTGCGCTGGTGGAGGCTTATCTCTTATTAAACAGAGGGCATGGTTAACAAACTGACAACAGCCTGAAGGTAGATTTAAATCCGGTGGCTCTGACAGCCAGTCCTCTTCCTTCATCTGTTCTCTACTCAGCTTAGGGACTCTTACCTCCTGTCTATACTGTCTATACAGCTGTAACCAAAACAGTCCAAAACTCTTGATTTGTTTTGTTTGTTTCTTTAGCTGTGGCCCGATGGTTCTTGACGCCCTGATCAAGATCAAAAATGAGATGGACTCCACTCTGACCTTCCGCCGCTCCTGCAGAGAAGGTCAGTAACTCGGAGGCTTTACAAATGAGCCGTTGGATGATAATATGATCATTAAATGTGGTCAATAATTATGTATGATTAGAAGTAGTAGTTGTAGTCAATTATTGGGTTAGAATTAACTTCGAAAAGTCTCAAATTTTTCAGTTTATGTTGGTGCAGCCTGCTTTATTTAAGGCAAAATACCAAGTGTGCTCTGTAGATTTATTTTCTTTTTCAGTGATTAATCGTTCATGCCTACCATTTGAAAGATAATGCCGCACCATCTTCTCTTTTTTCCACCAGAAAATAACAATCTACATTAACAAATATATGTCATTACACTCTGTGAGATTGTCTCGTCTCAGACATTAAAAGCTTTTACTGTTTTTGTTTGAATGCAGGTATTTGTGGATCCTGTGCAATGAACATTAATGGAGGAAACACACTTGCATGCCTCAACAAGATCGACACCAACGTTGGCAAGCCGACTAAGATTTACCCTCTTCCACATATGTATGTGGTCAAGGACCTGGTGCCTGTGAGTAAATATCCACCACAACATGAACGGACCAGCGCTAACTGAACAGATTCTACTCCACTAGTTTTACCAAATGTAGCCAAAACATGCCAATAGATAGGATAAACATTTCATTTAATCATTTGTTGTCTCTGTATTTTTCTGGAAAATATATACATGATCTATTTGGTGTATATGCAACAACTGCAAGTGTTTATGTTGCTGCTTAGATTAAAATAATCATTTTGATTTAAAGACTCAAGGGTAAAGGTCCACATGCTAAATGTGACATATTACTGAATATTACATTGATATCAGGTTGACACTTTCCACTTCTTCTTTGTTGATGTATTGTTTTGTGAACAAATTCAGTTTTAGGATTGTTTGCAGCAAGAAGTTTTATTCTGACATTTGAATGCTGACTGGTATTGTGTTTGCAGGACATGAGTAACTTCTATGCACAGTACAAGTCTATTGAGCCCTACCTGAAGAAGAAGGATGACTCAAACGAAGGGAAGGAGCAGTACCTGCAGACTGTGGAGGACAGACAGAAACTGGTACACCACTTTTTATTTTTTTATTTTGCTAAAACATTTTCCAGTGCTCCTCAAAAGTCACATGAAAATAAATGTCATTGCTTGCTTTTCTCCTGTGTAGGACGGGCTGTACGAATGTATCCTGTGCGCCTGCTGCAGTACGAGCTGCCCCAGCTACTGGTGGAACGGAGACAAGTACCTCGGGCCTGCTGTGCTGATGCAGGTGTGTGTCTGAGCACCTGGACATTTAAATTCTGAGCCTGCATACAAAAAATAACCACACAGATGAAGCGTTCATGGCTCGCATCCTGTTGTCTCACAGGCGTATCGTTGGATGATCGACTCACGAGACGAATTCACAGAGGAGCGTCTGTCCAAGCTGCAGGATCCGTTCTCCCTCTACCGCTGCCACACCATCATGAACTGCACCAAGACCTGTCCCAAGGTAACCCGTCGGCACACATCTGCAGCCGGATGCAGGCCACCGCTCATGTATATCTCGTGCCATTCAAATACAGACGACGTGCTCTGTTTGTGCAGATTCTTACAGCTCTTTCCTCGTCTGTCTCGTCTTCCTCTTAGGGCCTGAACCCGGGGAAAGCGATAGCTGAGATCAAGAAGATGATGGCCACATACAAGAAGAAGGTGGCTGCCGTCTGAAACCTCAGTTGTCCTCTTGTACAACACTTCCCTCCATGATATTATTATATATCGATTTATAAAAATGCTTTTTGAGGTCTGAAGGGCCAGCGCACCAGTCAGCTCCACCACACACCACACACTGCAGACAGCTGTGATGAAGATGTGTGTGTGTGTGTGGTGGAAGGACTTGGTGTTCCATTAACGCACATGTACAGTATGAATGCATGAGACAGAGAGAGAGTGTGTGTGTCTTGAGTCTTACATGTACCATAAAGAGGTATTTATCTTCAATGCTACTGTGTCTATGTTTGTGTAATTGGGAGATGCGATTCTGCATATTAAAGTTAAAAGAGTTTCTTGTATGTAAACAATTCAACACTGAGCTTGTTGCTTTTCCAGGTTAGTGGTTGCTTCAAAGACATACAGTGTATATTTTCCTTCAGATCTTCCAACATACCAACAGCAGTCTTTTTGATTTGATTGAAAATAAAAAGTTGAATGCCTCCAGTTGCTTTCCTTGGTTATTATTTGATGTCACTAATGTTGCGACACACTTCCACAGGGGTTAGCAGTTGGTGTCATTTCGATGTCTCTATTGTTCAGAGCCTCGGATGAGTTAAACCATCAGCAGTTTCATCACTGAGTTTAGTTGAAAGCTGATGTTTCTGTAAGAGACAGTGTTTCATCATGTTTTTATTTCAGGTTGGAAGTGTTCATTTAAAAATGTACATATCTTGTAGATGTTGGTGTCTCACAGGCAATACATCCCCCTGGACCTGAATTAAAAGAGTTTAAGAGCTGATTGACAGCAAAGATTTTAAAGCCCAAATGGATTTGAACACAATAAAAGCAACTCCTGTGCGATCTAATGCAAAAAATCTATAACAAATAGTGAATCTCATAACTAATATTTGTTAGGAAAGTTAGGACCCTTTTATCAATCTCATATCTGAAAACTGTTTAATGTTTATCTGCAGAAGTAACAACAAACTTCAATTTAATGATGGATTTAAAAAAAAAACATTTTGCTGGTGATATTGAAAAACCACGTTGGCTTGTGATGACATCTCACCCACGAATTATAAGAGTATCAAAGAAGACACAAATAATGAAAATAATGATCAAACCCACAATATAGAAACCAAAATAACGAATCATTATATATACTGATATATGTGATTTTCTGCTGTATTTAGATCTTGGCTCTTAATACAAATGGTGACATGTTAGTATTCACATTGATGACATGGTCACCTAGCCACCAGCCGATTTGGCCACGAGCAAGCATTTGGTCAGCTCATCGATACTTTTGATCCTGCAGCGTCGCAGCACCTGAAGGGTAGCAGGTCTCGGGATCACCCTGGTCTTGTTGCGGGTCGGTGCTGGGACTGGGGGATGGAGGCTGGGACTGGGACTGGACGGGGAGGAGACTACTGGTGCGGGGTGTAACAATGTGGCGCTGCGTGGTCCTCCTGCACTCACAGGACGCATGAGAGCTGAGGATAGCCGGAGCAAACTGAAGCAAAGTTGGGTAAGAAACTCTGAAAAAAAACTTTTAGTTAAGTTGAACCTACTTTTTTTGTTTATGTTTCATGCATGTGTGGGCTCTGGTTGTTCAGAAGACTTAACTTGAGTTGCATTTGTGCTGAAAATTACCGGGGAGAAAAATAAAGAGATGTGAGAAGATTGTGCACAGATTGCATGCAGCTAACAAACCACGTTTCAAGAAACATTAACGCATCCGCTCAGTCCGCATAATGCACACTATTCATAATTGTGCGATAATTAGCGTGTATGTTAATAGCTGTTGAGAGCTGACATGTGGTCCTGTGTTTTCACTGGAGAGAAGAAGGAGGAGGGACATCACGGCTCAGCCTGCAGCAATAGCACTACAATGGAGAGAGAGGTGCCAAGAGGAAAAACACAGAAATCAGTTGCTTCCAGAGGCTGGGGGTCGATGAGGGCACATGGGAAGATGATTTAGATTTCTGTTTATATGTTTATCATAGTTGCATAAAAACAATGTTCGTGAAATACATGACAGCAGGGCATCTGCTGTTGCTGTCCTCAGAAACTCTTACTATTGAGTGTGTGTGTGTGTGTGTGTGCGTGTGTGCGGGTGTGTGTGTGTGTGTG